AACCCTAAACCCTCCCAAAACCCTAAACCCTAAACCCTCCCTAAACCCTACACCCTAAACTCTCCCTAAACCCTAAACCCTAAACTCTGAAGGTGTAGGCTAGAGGGCTTAATGTCGTCGGCTTTAGGTTTCAGAGGGGGGGGGGGGGCACGCGCCACGGGAACACGATCCCGGCTGTGCTAGAGGACCACGGCAAGCCGAACACTCCAGGCCACGGTTTAGGGGTTTAGGGTTTAGGGTTTAGGGTTTAGGGTTTAGGGCTTAGGGTTTAGGGTTTAGGGTTTAGGGTTTAGGGTTTAGGCTTTGAGTGGCAAGGAGGTGGCCGTAAAAGTCCTGGAGGCTGCCAACATGCAGAAGGGACTGCAGCATCGCCGATGCGTTTTCGGCGACAAACTGATCCCTTAATCCTGAGATCCAGGGCCATGTCAACGCATGAAGAACGGACTACTCGTGAATGCTGAGGGTTTATTGTTTCAGAACGTCCCACGTAAGTCTTGAGTGCCCCAGAAGTCGTGAAGACTTACGAGCTCGAAGCCTTGCGCAGGCCGCACTTGAGCGGGTGGCTCGCGAGGTGAAGCTCCAGAAAATGTTTAAGCGCCCGAGATCTGTTGCAGTGAGCTGAGCAGTTGTATGAGTTGTATATTGTGTCTGTGTGTGTATATATATATATATGTGTGTGTGTGTGTGTGTATAGACATACCTACACAGGCATGTGTGAGAGAGACACGCCTTCGCTTGAGGGCTTCTTGGAACGAGTCTAAAGAATCCACCTCCCCATGTGGCACCCCTTGCTTCGTTAGAGCTTATTCCTTAAGACGAATCTAGATTTGTTAACGTTTGGGCCCAGGATAGTACTAATGTAAATTCGCATGTTGAGAGTTTATGACTATTAGGAACTCAGTGCTGGATGAGGGCTTGGTAGCTGGGCCCCTTATAGAGTAGTAGTACAGTAGTACAGTAGTAGTACAGTAACAGTACAGCAGGTTTAAGGTTTTAGGGTTTAGGGCTCAGAGGGGTTTAGGCTCTTCAAGGTGCGCCACTTAGACCTATTGCAGCATCAAGCACCCGGGCGCGAGGCAAGAGAAACCACATTCACAATGGTTGATGAACATTAATGTTCGTAACTGTTCTTCCTTCTACTATCCTGTGGCCAGTGATTGTATTAGTATACTATATTTATTTGTGTCTTCAAGGCTCTTATTGCAGTTGTTGTTATTGTTACTATTGTTACTATCACCATCATCATCATCGTCATCATCATCATCATCATAAGTTTTTGTCATCGCGCCGAGGTGCGGTTGCTGGGGCTGCTTCGATGAGTTCAACCGAATCGATGTCTCGGTGCTGTTCCTCGTCGTCCCACTAGTTTACAGGGGCCTTCGGCTAAGGTCCGAGGGGTCGGTACATCCCAGGCCCCTTAAACCCTCAATGCCTACGTAACATAAAATCCCCTAAACCCCTAAACCCTAAACAACCAAAACAACAAAACACCGCGAAACACCTAAACCAACCCAATCAACCCAAGACCCGAAATCCTGCACCCTCGACATTTTTCGGGAAATCCAGAAGCATGAACCTCGTGTGCGTCTGGCTCTCTCCCAAGGACATTAATGTAGGGGCCTTAATGTTAGAATAGGGTTTTGGGGGGTTCCTTGTTATGATTATAGTATAATATACACGCAACCCTATTCTAATTATTAAGGCCCCTATATTAGGCTTTAGGTCCCAGGTCGTAATAGGGAGATCGCTTTCAAGGGACCCTTCTTAGCCCTACTTCTGGGCCTCTTAGAAACGGACCTTATCGAGATGGACAATATCTTACAGGGCCCCCCCTAATCCTAACTCCGATTAGGGCTCCAGCAAGGGGAGGGGCGGGGGCCCCTTTTAGGGTTTAGGGTTTAGGGCTTAAGGCGAGAGCCCTGAACCACACCTGGAAATGTCCGCCCACCACATGGATGCCGACAGTTGAAGCTCCTCCTGTAACCCAATGACCACTGCCGAAGCTCATAATTGAGCCCTGTGCAGAACTGATGTGTTAGAGCTAGTTTCTGCAAGTGTTTGACGGGGTTTAGGGTTCAGGGTTTAGGGCTTAAGGTTCAGGGTTTAGGGTTAGGATTGAGGCCCAGGAGGGATCTAGAAAGTCGATCTCCGAATTTCCAAAACCTATGCTATTACCGTGTTTTGTAGGAACCCGATTAAGGGATCTACCCCTAAACCCTAAACCCTAAACCTTCGAATCCTCCCAGACACTGAGAAGGTGTAGGATGGGGTGTTCCGGGTTGCAGGCTGCAGGGGCCGTGGAGTCCAGGCCTTAGCTGGCTTAACCTTCCCAAAGGGTTTAGGGTTTTAGGGTTTTAGGGTTTAGGGTGAACCTTCCCAAAGGGTGCTAGGTGCCGATATGGGGGATGCTCGCCCACACCCTAGTCAGTAGTAGCTTTCATTATCGAAACCCTACAGTCTACTATATCGGTACTTAGGACCCTTTGGACTTAAACTGCCAACCCCGACACTTGTTTAAGGTCTGTCGTCGCCGTGCAGATCATGACCATCCAGAATGCCTTGCAGCTTTTCTGGAACATGCTTCTCTGAGGATTACATGTGAATGTGCTGTATGTATGTATGTATGTACGTACGTACGTACGTAGGTATGTATGTATGTATGTATGTATGTATGTATGTATGTATATTGTCTGTATGTGTGTGTGTATATATATATATATATATATATTTATGCAAGGAACTGTATGCAACTGCACGCAATCATATTGCCTGTGCACAAATACACACAATCATACGTGTGTAGAACGATTCGTCGAAAGTGAAAGCCAGCTCTGACTAATATTTATGAAAAGGAGATTCCATTTCAAGTATTCGGGCCCTTGCTTCAGCCTTTGGAGCGCAAGCCGCAAGCTAGCAGCTGCTGAGTAGTTGATTTGCGGTGTCATCGCGGGTGACAAGCTGATGGCTCGCAGTCAATACGGGTCCAAGCTCCCATGTAGCATATAATATTGCCCAGAGCTTTCAGGGGTTGCGGCACACTTTAGTGCCAAAGTCTATGCTATCTGCGCACCAAGACCTTTAAAGCCTTTTTTGAGTTTGCAGCACTTGCTAGGAATGAGTTCGAATTAATTTATATTCTTTTCTTCAGCTCACAGCCTCTGATATGGGTGACATATTTCCGGAACCCCTAAACCCTAAACCCAATGCTCACCCTAAACTCTAAACTCTGAACCCCAAACCCTAAACCCCAAACCCGAAACCCAATGCTCACGAGGAAGGAGGAGAAGGAGAAGTTCATGTTCGAGGACGCGCAGCACCTGCACCGCCTGGTAGTATCTGGTCGTATAGCATAGCCAAGAAGCCGAAAGCTTGCGAAATCATAAACCCTAAACCCTGAACCCTTAAACCCTAAGCCCTAAACTTCTCAACCGTAAACCCCAAACCCTAAACCGTAAACCCTAAACCCTCAAACCCTAAACCCATGCCTGTAGGCTTGAGGGTCATAGTCTCGAACTCCTTTATACATGAAAGTTCAACGGGTCCGAAACGTTTTCCCATGAAGCTCCTTTTCTGTCTGATTGAGCTGTGTCTGAGTTGCACAAAAGGCACAAACCTGTTCTAATCTATGAGGGCCCTCTACTTGGAGGTTCATGGGTAGTTATAGGTGGGGTTATAAGTCCCCTAATATGGCTTATAAGTACAGTTACCCTACTTATAACCCCCATTTATAACTACCCATGAACCTCCAAGTATTGCTGGGATAACCCTAAACCCTAAACCCTAAACCCTAAACCCTAAACCCTAAACCCTAAACCCTAGACCCTAGACCCTAAACCCTAAACCCTAAACCCTAAACTTTGTTGCGCAGGTAAGCCCCCAGGTCCCTTGCCGTTGTTTTGCAAGTCACGACTACAGGAATTCAGCCAATCCGGAATCCCAATACCGTTGATGGACAAAATCGGTTTAGGGTTTAGGGTTTAGGGTTTAGGGTTTATCCTGCATGACCTTAAGGACCTTAAAATATGGGAATTATCGTATATTCCTTATAGTGGGTAATGCAGGATTTTGTCCATCAACAGTATGAACCCAACATACGGTTGATGATAACTTTAATTCCTGCACTACCCATAATAAGGAAGACACCATAATTCCCATAGTTTAGGTTCCTTAAGGTAATGCAGGGTTTTTCATCAACAGTAGTAGGGTCAACCTCCTAAGGCCGCCCCCTAAGAAGAACTATCATTAAGTCAGATCAAAGCCGTAAATGCACTTAGAGTAACCCTGTTGCCAAGCCAGTAACCCCGAGACTCCACAACTCCTTAATTAAATAGCCTTAAATCATACTAGGAACCCAATTAACTAAGATTTATATGAGGTGTATTCCTTAATTAAGGGATTTTGGAGTCTCTGTGAACTCTGACAGGAACCGTTGGGGTTTCCGTAGCCTATGCCTGCGTTGAGGGATTCGGCGGTTTCTGGGTGGTTCTTGCCCTGCCCAGAGAAGCCCAATACCCCTTAACTAAGGAATAGACCTAAGACCCTAGTCCCTATAATTCAGGTATATTCCTTAATTCCCTTATCATCGAACCCTTATAGAGACCCTTATAGATCTCTCTAAGGCCCTTAAAATTTAAGGTGCATTCCTTAATTAAGGGGTATTGGGCTCTTTGGGTCTCCAGGCCGTGCATTGTTGCGCGTTATTAAGGAATATACCTTACAGCACCAAAATATTAAGGCCTATAATTTTGTGCTAAGCCCTAAACCCTAAACCCCAAACCGTAAACCCTAAACCCTAAACCCTAAAACCTTAACTCAGGGGGTCTTGGGCTCTCTTGCCCTGCACCAGGACATCCTCATCAGCTTGAAGCGAACTTGTGCCGTCGCACGGCAGGATTTGGAGAGTTTCTGAGGTTTCCTAGGGTTTAGGGTTTAGGGTGTATGTATGTGTGTATGCATGTATTGTTTGTTTGTGTTCATGCTTCTGAGGTTCCCGCAACCTTTGCTTAACATAGGGGCCTTTGTAAGTAGAATATACTGCGCTACTACTGTACTACTACTGTACTACTGCTGTACTACTGTACTGCTGTATTACTAATACTTCTGTGCTCTGCGTCCTGCTCCTGTCCTACTACTGTATTACCAATGTAAAGAGCTTATCTCCCAGCCCAACCCCCGGGCAGAGGCGCATCCGCGGAGCACCCCAAACCCCTCGGCC